TCACTAGCTTCACTAGCTGTATGATCTCTGGCCCTCTGGCAACCTCAGTTTTCGCATCTGAAAGGAAGGGAGCGGCATAATACCTTACATCAGGGTTGTATAAAGGGAGATAGCCCAGAGAGGTCTTGGCTGGGTGCCCGGCCTTGCTCTGATCCGCAGGTACGGTGACAAATGCCACCTCCCACGGGTCCCCACTGATCCTACAGCAGAGCTGTACCCCTCTGCCTCTGCTCAGCGCCCACGGTCAGCCCCGGGTACCGGTATAATTAGCTCCATCTCGGTGGTGAGCAGCCACGGCTTCTCACAGCCTCTGACACGACTGTCACCTCCCACTCAGTTATCTCCACCGTTGAGTGTGCATTACATGCCCGCTGGGCATGGGGCTGAGTGCCACCAGAGGACAGCTCAGCCCTCACAATCTCCGAGTTGTCACAAGGAACCAAAACCTTTTCCTTCACTCTCAGGCTGTGCCAAAAGAAAAGTTTGGGGGAGAAAATGCCACCTCTTGGATCTGCTGAGGAATCGCGTTCCTCCTGACCCCACAGCCAGCGGGGTGGGCGATGAGGGTGGGGGAGAAAGGAAGCCTGTTTCTTTAAGGGGCCTCTGCTAGTGGGGCGGGGACTTCCCCCGGCAGCTGGGCCCGCCCCCTCTTGAGTGACAGGCAAACAACCCAATTACAGAAAGAGACTTCAGCGTGACGGCGGAGCGGAGCAATAGGAGCCCGGGCTGGCTTTCGGGGGCGGGATCCCGGGAAGGCCGAGCGGGCGGAGGCTGGTGGAGCGGCGGAGGCGAGACCCCGGCGCGGGAGCTGGGCCTAGGTCGGCGCCCTGGTGAGTGCGGGGCGCGCCGGGCGCCGGGGCGCGGCGGGCCGCGGAGAGGGGCCTGGCCCGAGGGACGCGGGGCGGAGAGGCTGGGCCGGGAAGGGGGCCGGAGGCTGCGGCCTGCATCTGCTTCGGGGACTGAGGGGCAGAGGGGCTGGAGGGCGGGCCCGGGCTGCAGCGCGCAGGTTCCGCAGGGGGTCGCGGCCCTGCGGGGGCCGCCGGGCCGCAGATTTGCGACCGGCAGGGGCGTCGGGTGGGGAAGAAGGAGGGCCGGGCCTTGAGGAGCGTGGGGAGGAGGAGGGTGGGAGGATGGAGCCTGCGGGCGCGGCGAGCAGATGGGGGAGGGACTGGATGGGAGAACGCTTGCTGGGAGCCCGGGGAGTGTGTGGGGCTGGGTGGCCCTCGTCTGCAGTCCTGGAGTCTCTCTTGACATCGCCGCCTCCGAAGCACACGCTGCTCGTCCCCCCCCCC